ACAAAAAAAAACAAACAACACCAGCTCCCACCACCTAAACACACAACAACCTCCAACCAAAAAACCATCACCCACCCACACAGCACCCCACCACAAACCAGTAATCTTGGGCACTAGAGCATGCCCTGAAGAACCATGTCTACACGTTTCTTAAATACCTCCAGGGATGGTGACTCCACCACCTCCCTGGGCAGCCCATTCCAATACTGGATAACCCTTTCAGTAAAGAAATGTTTCCTAATATCCAACCTGAACTTCCCCTGGCGCAACTTGAAGCCGTTACCCCTTGTCCTATCATCTGTAACTTGGGAGAAGAGACCGACCCCCGTCTCTCTACAGCCTCCTTTCAGGTACTTGTACAGAGCGATAAGGTCTCCCTTCAGTCTCCTCTTCCCCAGACTGAACAACCCCAGTTCCCTCAGCCTCTCCTCGTAAGACTTGTGCTCCAGACCCCTCACCAGCTTTGTTGCCCTTCTCTGGACCCGCTCCAGCACCTCAATGTCTCTGCAAAAGGCTCCTAGATGTTCTCAGGCTTGCACTTGAGCAAGGTGTAATCAAGGATTATCCACCCAAGTTGAACTTTGGGAGACTGGAGGCACTTTTCTCTCCAGCTCTCAACCGTCCATCAGTTCACTCAATAGCTCTAAACAGCAACTTCCTCCAAGCACAACCATCTTTTTTCAACAACTAATACCACATGCTCCTCAAGTGAGAAATGATTATTTGATTTAGGATGCTCTTAAATTATAAGCAGCCCGCAGTTATTTTAAGTGTATGTTGGATCTTTTTCTCAGTGAAGATTAATGCTACTTTTGCCATGGGGTTATATAAGAAGGAAACATTTGTGCAACAGCAATTTTTAACACTTTGCCCGGATTGATTTATGTGTTTATTTGTTTTCAGCTTTTTGGGAACCCATAAATGATGTCCTTAGCCTTCAGAGGGAATACCAACATCCAGTAATTTATGAGTGGCTAAAAGCAAGAGTGTTGAGGGAAGATTATTTGTCTCTTGACCATAACTGAGTGGGCTAGATTGAATAAATCAGTTTGCATGAACTAAGCTGAGCATAAAGATTCGAAGACAATATGCAAAGCAAGTAAAAAAAGCAAGCAGTAGGTTAAAACCAGAGATTAAACTTGCCTGTCTGCCACAGGTACGTAGGAGAAATCATGCTCATAGGAAGCCAGAGTTATTGAAATAAAGTATTGATTTTCTGCTGAAAGAACTGTAAGTATAAAAGGACAATTAATTTTTAAATGAAGGTAGTGGTCATATTATTGCTCTCTGGATATAGAAAGAAGCTCATCTGTCTATATTTATCTGCAGCATTTGACTCTGTGCTCAGAGGCAGTGAGTTTTTTAATCAAAACTTGATTGTTAAGAATGTTAGAGCATGATTAAATGTCCAGACTCCTCTTTTATAGATTTGAACTTCAAATTGAAGGTGAGTTCATTTCACACACAAAAGACATTCCTGAAGCAGCACTTTACCTTCCTTCCCAGCCATTCACCTCTACTCCCTCACCCAAGCAACATCCCATCCTGCTCAGTCCCCTCACCTGGAATTTGGGGTCATCATTGGCTTGTTCTCCTCTCCAGACCTCGTATCCTACATCTTAAAACTCCATACCAGCATCTCAGAGCAACCATCTCTGCAGGCATCCTGAAAACAATCAGGCAGGCTCTTACCACTTCACAGCTTTAATTAGTACAACCTCCTCTCCTCCAGCTTTGACAAATGTCTCACCCTACCACTGCTCCAATTAGTACCACAGTCATTAGCTCCTGCCTTCAGAGCTTCCTCCAGACACGTGTGAGCCACCTCCCCTTTCAAGGGCCACAATATCCTCTTCCCACCATCTATCTCCATTACCAGAAGGCCAATCCATGCTTCTCTCTGGCCCTTGTTCCAGCATCTGACACTTGGTCATCACCCAGATCTCCTTCAGAAATGGGAGAGGAGCCCTGCAGTGGTTGTCTGCAAAGTGAACCTCACTGTCCGGCTGATACTCAAGGTGCTGTGTCCCTAGCCATTACCTGTCTCACCATGTACTCTCCAAGCCAAATGTTGTCTTTTCTTCACACTAAGACTCTAAATTCCCTGCAGCAGTTGCTGTCATTTTGGTCTATTTGTCTCACAGACCTTAGCATGGTAAATATGGTCCATGGGAAAGTCGTGACACCCATATAGCAATGAATAGAAGTAAGGGTTTAAGCAATCTTTCTATGAGTTGGTGAGTGGTGCTGCTGAGCAGCAGTCAGGGCTGTCCACTCTCTCATGTCCATTCTCTGGCTTAATTAGGACTGTAAGCATGGAAATTCATCAGATATTGAGTACCCCAAGAAAAGAAACAAGTTTTCTTGCCTGTTGTCTGACTGTGGTGGTGGGGCAGGGTTTGAGGAGCTCTACATGTCGTCTGGGTTCTGGGCTGTAAGAAACTTCAGAAAGGTAACAAAATTGAGTGAGGAAATGGGTTTTCCGTCCAGCAAGTTTTAAGAGTGTGTCAGGCTGAAATTATGTTGTGTGCATGGAAAAAAATATTATCCCTAATCAGACTAAAAAAACCCAAATAATTAACAGTTTAAGTCCTAGTATATCAGTTCGGATCGATCAAATAGTTTAAGCAACTGAAAAGTTTCACTTACTTCAATTCTGGCCATTTTTGTAAAAGAATGTAAAAAAATAATAATCTGAAAACTAAAGATGCAGATGCCTGAGCAGTATCAATTCAGACCGAGCTGATTTTTCACTATAAATTAAAAATGGATTATTTTTTTTGCTTCTTTAAGAAGAAGTAAGGATACAATAACTTTGGGCTCAAATGTTGTTCTTTGTATCATGAATGTTCTTCTAGGGAATGTCTGACAGATAAATCCATCTCGCATATGACTGTATCCGATTGCCTCAGGCTGTCACTGGAGCAATTCCCAACTGCTTAACGAGTCTGTAACGCCCACATCCTGCATGATGAGCAATGGTGAATTATTTTTTTTTTTCCTTCCAGAACACACTGGTGAGGAGAACTGCTTCCAGGTCTGGGTGGCCATGAACCTGAGTGGAGCCTGAACGCCGTTAAAGCCACACTGACTAACAAAACTTTAAAAATATGACTACAGTCAGGATTTTAACTCCACAATGCTGCTATGCCGGGATGTGACAGGCTTCCTACCCAGGTCTGGAAGGTAGGGATCTGCTTGCATCTATGAAAACGCATCATTTCCCATCCCTCCCCGTCCTGCACATCTATTGTTTTGTGAAAGGAGTGCAGAAGAAAGGAAAAATAAGATTTTGAAATCCATCCTATGGGTTGAGTGGAAACATGATTAGCCAGCATAGAAACTGGTATGGTTTAGACCAGCTCTCTGCAATGTATGTGGCACATCACTGCCTTATATTTAAAGTGACAGTGCCAAGATTGTCAGGTTCGGGGAGGGGGGGGAGGGTGGAATCCTATGTGTTTTGAAGTATATTGCATAGGTAAGAATGACTGTGAAATTCAGCCACTCGGGTGAGCACAAGCATTATATAGTCTCTAACAGAGCTGGCATACTAAAGAGGATGCAACATATCTTTGTCTGCTTGTGTACATAAGGTCATAAAAAAGGAATATATCCTCTCTTTTGTGGCAGCCCCTCATGAAAAGAGCACTGGGAAACACAAAACAAAGAGCAGAGCAAAGACCAAATGCTCAAGACAGATTCTTCATCAAGGTACTCAAGTTCCTTATCCCCAGGCCATGGTCCCTGACTGCTGTCACACATGACTGCAGGGGTTCCTGGCCATAGAAAAAGTCAGGCAAGAACAAGCCAGGGGGGACCAGAGCATCAAAACTAGATGATGCTGACCCCCTGAAGAGATACAGCTGCTGCCTGGTCCTAGACCTTTGCAATCCACAGAGAGCCAAGTGCAGAGCATCACTTCTGGTACTGAATTACCCTGCCCACCACAAGCCAGCACAGCTCCACCCCTGGGAAGTTGCAGCCACAGGGACAGCAATTTCTTAAATGCCATTGCTATTACTGCTTGCCACTGTCTGACCACCAAGCTCCCAAGTTGCACCCACAGGATGAAATACTACACTGAGCTTCTGCAAAAGCTCTGGGCTGGTTTCAGGCCACCAGCATTTCTGGGCAATTCTAGATGGCCCTGTCAGACAGTCCCACAGCCCTCTCCAAGAGACCACCTGCGGTGCCCATCTATCCTCAGAGCCATTAGAGGGGGAGAGATTGTACTGAAGCACCTGGGGATGCACAGAAGAGCACACGCTCATAAAACTGCTAAACTGCTCAATAATCTGAACCAGGGATTGCCCTTCTTCATCTGTTGGCTTTGTTTAAACCAAATTGTGTTTTCAAAAAAAAAATCTGAAGAAATTAAAAAATATCGTTCTACAGCTGGGTGCTGACAAGCTGGAAAAAAGTAATTTTCTACAATTCAGCTATTCAGAGAAAACTTGATCATTCAAGTGTGAACCTTTATAATTGTTTCTACTAATCTTTTTTTTTTCTCCCCCTACACACATGCTGTCAACATCAGCTGTGCTGGTAAATAAGAGCAAAGCATCCAGCCAACCAGTCTGTAGCTGGAGTGAGAATGAGTTTCAGTAACATTGATGGGTTTCACAAGGCAGACTGGGACCTGCAAAACCATTCTGCTCCCACACAGCACATCCCCTAGGGCCAAGACAGATGTATAGCCAGGGCCTCCTCCAGCATGAACCAACTCTGCTTCAACCTATAAGACATTTCCATAGCCCCTCCAAGCCTGGCTGGACTGCTGGGCACCAAGGAAATGAAAGGGGAGGTTGAGGTGCTGGTCAAGGATTTGTCAAATAAGCAGAACAAGTTGTTCAGCTATTACAGAGATGGAAGACCACATCATCATCATGCACAAGCACAGCTCTCTGTGCTGGGAGACACCAGGCACGTTGGATATTCACCTGGGAACAAGCTGGTTCCCTTCCTCTGCTCTGGTGCATCCACAGGCAGATCCCTGCCTGCAGCGGTGCTAACAGCCTTTTAGGAAATATAATCAAACAGCACATCCATGGTAAAATCAGGGAGCTAGACTTTCTCAGGAGGAACCAGCCCTGGTGAACACATGCAAATAACTCCTTTCGCATCTGGGGACCATCTCCTGCTGGTCCCCTGGTCTAGAACAGCGGTGTGCTCCAGTAATAATAAATTAAACTGGAGACAACTGCCTCAGAGACAATCCCCCATTTCCAGCACCAAGATCTGTTCAGTGCCGCCAACTGCCTCTGCATGGCCAAGCCTGCTGACATGCAATTGCAATAACTAGCAGTGCAGAACATCACCAAATGCTGCCTGATGCCCAACCCACCACACAACTCAGCTGGGCACTATGTTGATGCAGCTCTGACAAGCTGGACCTGTGGAGGAGGTTTCCCCCTCTGACAATGCTGGTGCCCAGGCAGATTCAAGTGAGCAGTCAAGCTGTGAGCGAGGAGGGCAGCTTGGGACACCAAGTCCTTCTGGCCAGCCCCAGGAAATACATTCTCCATCACTAATGACTTAATGCAGAATAGCAGTCACAGAATAGAAATGTCATCAAGTTTATGGGAAGAGCAGAAGGAGGAAAGACATGAGATTTATACAAAAATTAAGAATACAGCTTCTTGGAAAAAAATATTTATACTCCTACTGAAAATGATGAGCTTTTGGCAAAACAGATCAACCTAAACCTGAAACCATTCGATTCAAGCTGTCAGTGTGATTTCCTGTGTGATCTACAGCTCGGATGCCATACGCTTTCACTCTGCTCTCTGGGTAACAGCTTTTGCCTGCCGTATCCTTCCCATAGCACGATTTTCTCTTCCAGTAGGAGGGGGGCTCTGTGATAGCTCTGGCGTTTCATCGGAAACATGGTCCATCCACAGTCCTGTGGGCAGCAGCAAGCAGAAGGATGCAGCACTTGAACCACAACTCCCATGAGATTGTGAGATGACATTCTGAGGAGAAAAATCTCAAAGAGATGAATCTCTACCAGAAAGCTCAGATCATTTTCTGAGTAAATGATTCATCTCTCCGAAAAAAGTACATTTGATTGAAAATGCAGTTTTTCCCTCCGAGATCAGCACTGATAGAAATTACCAGCTAGTTCTGATATTTTGCAGGGGTAACTTAGTGTGAAATAACACCACATGGTACAATAGCCAAAGTGTCAGGAGGGAAAAATCAGACCCATCCTTGTTGGACCTTCACAAGAGTACTTCACGAAGGATGGAGCTACATTAGTAGTTTTGACAACCTTTTTTTTTTCCTTCCGCTCCACAAAAAAGTATCCACACTTAATACTCAGCCTTGCTGACAAAGTCTTAACTCTTCTTCACTAAACGAAGCTATGAACTGTGATGTAAGATCTCTTGGCAGTTGAAATAGAGTGGTAATAGAGTTTTCTGGGAAAAAGTGTTTTCTCTGATCAGATCAGGTGAGCATTACAAGACCTCACTCCTCAGTGATTTTGTCTTGAGCCCAAACTTGCTGGTCCATCCTAACATTCTGACTGGTAAATACCTATGATGGCTGCTTGATTTAATTCACTATGTGTCATCAGCTTCTCTTTCATCTCCCCACTGCAGGACTGGCTGTTACAGTAATTTCTGTGCTTTCAGAAAATTAAAAATATCTGCTGTCCTTGTGCTTAAAATAGACTAGAGAGCCCGGCTGATTTATACTTGCCTTGTAGGATCTAGGAGGTGGTGAAATTGGAAAACAACTTGAAAGGGTAAATTATGAAACAGAGAAGGAACTGTGAACTTTTAAAACAAAAGAACTTCAGTTCACCCTGGGAAAAATTCTCAGAGCATAAGAGTTCTGGAGTCACTGGGACACCCACTCGCAGCTGGCACAACATGACACTGCAAGAACACCATGACCCAGCCAGATGTGAGTTGCTACTGAAATATCCCTGCCAGCAGCATCAGCTCACTGGAAATATAACTGGGCAAGCTTGGCTGTGGAGACAGAATCTGTACCTGGGGCTTCCTCACTGCATTAATGCAGCTATAGAGAGCAACCTGCCCATTTCATCCCCAAGTTTCACTCAATTCTCCCTATGGCTCAGTATCTTTTCTTTCCCATCTCTTATCTCCAAATGAATCAGGGATTGGTTCTCAGATTGATTATTGCATTTGATGTGAATGACTTTTGCTGTGCTTGTTTTAAAGAAGCATTCCATATTCCAGTTCTTTTACAGTAGTAACCTGCAACACTGCTACTTCCCACCTTAACCCAAGCTGGATGTCAGGAAAAGTTTCCCCCATCCCTAGGCAGTGACTCAGTTCCACAAGTCAGATACAAAGTAATTTGGTGTTAGCAGCTGATGAGCTATCCAGAGGCAAACTTGCAGATGCAGAAGGGAGACCATTTCTGCTGAAGCCATTTTGCTTCTGGATTCAGATGAGATCAGAAGATACCTTCGGCTACACAGACATCCGCAGCAAATAAAGTAATCCTTGTACTAATCACATAGTCCCCTGTACCTCTTTGGGCAATAAAACACCCACTTAAAAATTATATTGCTCCTAAAAATCTTCTATTGCCTGGAGAACCTGTGAGCACCAGAGATTAAATGTTATAGAAAATAAGTATGCATAATTTTCACTTTCCTTTGTGCCAATAAGAGACAGGGAATGTTTGGACAGAGAGGAAAATTGGGATAGAAACAGTCTGCTCTGCCATTTGTCTGCTCTCTCACACTAGCAGAGGAGAGGAAATATTTCTGTGATTGGGAAATGCTGAGACAAGAGCAGTGTCTGTACCTCTTTTAAGAGATGATATTTCAAGTGGATAGTGTTCATTCACCACTGCTTCTCTTTTCTTTGTTAACTTCCCTCTTTATTGCCTAATATTTTAGCAAGAAGCATTCATGGGCTAAATTAAGGTGGAAATGAGGTTTCTCCTGTTCACAGCTCTCTCAGTTACTCCGAGCTAAGACTTTTCCAGCAGGTTTATTTCTCAACAAGAATATACCACAGAGACTTTCTGTTTCCAGTTCTACCCCTGAGTTTCCCCATACTCAGGAGCAGCAGTCACTTGTGTCTGACACCGTGTTTGTTTTGCAGGTGGTTGATGATGTTAGGAGCAAATATAAACCCAGATGAAGAGCGGCATAAGCAATGGAGGGACCAACCCCAGAGCCTGTCTACGTTGATGTGGACAAGGGACTGACCTTAGCATGTATTGTCTTCCTCTGCCTCTTCTTGATTGTGATGATTATTCGCTGTGCCAAAGTCATCATGGACCCTTACAGTGCCATCCCTACATCCACATGGGAGGAGCAGCATCTCGATGACTGAAAGGACTACACTAGACAGAGCCATAAAATGCTGCCATCCAGGAGGTCTTTTCCTACCGGGAAGGCCGACACACAAACAGCCATTTTCAGATATGCAGGGTAACGGCGATATATCCAAGAGCACATAGTGTAAATGATTCTTGCTCAACAGATCAGGATATCAGCAAGCCATTCTGGCAGCACAGTTTAATACTATGCAGCAACCCTTATTTTACTGAAATCGGTTATCATTGTAACTCAAGTAGCACAAGACTCTCCAGAGTTTTCCTAATATAACTCTTGGTCTCACACAGTTTGTCCTCCCCTCACTATCTCCCACAAATCCAGGGTAACCATCAGAATTTGGAAAAGCAACAAGAACATTTTGTCTTTCCTGGAAATAGATTGCTTCAAATATCTTCCTCAGCTGCTATATTTGTTTCAAAAAAGGCTCAAATTTTATAATTTTTTTTATCACAGAGCATCACTAAGTAGAAGCGCTAAAGCACCTCTGGTTACATCGGGTTATACGAACAGATTTATTCCAAACTTCCTTGATTCTGCACATATGGTTCCTACCCCACTGGAGTCATATTTCCAGCAATCAGAACACAGAAGAACTCAGATTACAGGTCCCAAAGGGGTCATGGACCACTGTTGACCCTGTAGCTCCATTTTGCTCTGTCCTACTCAAGCAACCACTACACATTTTATCATCTGCCACAGGCTCATGGATTAGCCAGATGAGCTTCGTAGCCACCAGAACTACATCGAGCTTACTGTGATTTTTCAAAGAATGATTCCACATGCAACTTCATCCATCTTTCATTTCAGGTGCACCTCAGTGGGATGACACACAAATAGAATGACAAAGACAATAAGGAAGGAGACATTGTTCCAAGCTTGTCACTGAGCCAGAGTCCTCAGCATAGCAGCTACAGTAACATACAATAATACGCATTCTACCTCGGAGAAATTCAGCACCTTTAAAAGAAGAATTTTTCCACAAAATTGTAAGGTGAATAGCTGTACATTTCCTTCTCCCAACTCATTAAGACAGCCATTATGCAAGAAGGCATAAATGAACAGGGAAGCTTTAGAAATTTACTATTTACCTTTGGAAGAGTGGGGATTAAGGGGTTCTGGCATCCTCTATCTCCCAAATTTCAAGCTTTGCTCATAGTGGCCTTTTTTAGTGACATGTTTGGTTTAAGGGATTGTAAGGAGTTGCTGAAACAATACTGAGTAGGTTCTGCAACCACAACAAGCATCATAAGCAAGCAAGACTTGAAAGCACAGATTTGCAAGTAGGACCTTTCACTATTTCTCCTCTTCCCTACCATCCTGACCTCTAGATTGTTGCCATGAGGCAACGCACAGCAGGTGAGAAAGATGGAGCCAAAGGCTGGGGCAAGGAATCAGGATGTAGACTTTGAAGGTTACTATTCTCAGCTCCAATGATCACACAAGTCACTTCTTTACGTGCCTCAGTCTACTTATCAGTGAAATGGGTACAGCAATATTAACCTGTCTCACACTGAAAACAAGTCTGTCTCATAATACCAGAAAGCACCTGGGGAGCCCTAGACAAGGATACCGAAAAAAAAATACACTAATTTACAATTCTTCCTTGTGAAGCTAATGGGGAAGATCTGCATCTCAGTACAGAGTGAGGGCATTTCTCCCCAGACAGAGGACTTGTCCAGATCTCCGCTTACTCCCTCATAAGTATTTCAGCATTTTGAGTCACACCAAATGGCACCTGGCTTTGTTACATATTCCACTGATTTCTGAGGACAGTCTGGATGTGAGGTGCTCAGCACTGATTACAGAGTTCCCAAAATAGCAGGCTATGAGGCACGTGGAGATTTTTGCATGAATCTTTTTCACTGCACAATTTTTGCTGATCTCTGTTGTAGGAGACCCCATTCAGGAGGCAAGAGATTTGAGGATTAGCTTTAATTCTGCTATTCTCTACCAAGAGACCTCCACTGCTTCAGTTACCCACTGCAGATTGCTCATCAGGCTGTTATTTAACCTCAATTTCTGCTAGCCAGTTAATCACCAGTTACAGGACCTTTTCAAGTGTGAATGTTAATGTTCACCATACTTTGAGCAAATGCATTGGTCTCTTTTCTTCATGATTGCATCTATCTGTACTATAGGAATGGAGGCCTTGGCTAAAAGGAGATTGCTTCTCTTCCCTAGGATAAAGTTTCAAACCCATTTTTTTGTTGGTAAATCTCATATCCCACCTTTATACTAGTGGAGTTACTTATAGAATAAACAAACAAAACCCAAAATAAATCTATTTCCAGGTTAGAGGTGCTTTCAGTTTGCCAATCACTCAGCTGTGCTCACAGCTGATGCAGAGCAAGAGCAGAGCTTGTCATCACTCCTCCCAGTGCTAATGCTCCACTCAGTGTTTTTCTGCATGCAGAACTCTTTGGCTTTGTCACACATCACCGATAAGCCCCCCCTGTTCAGCTTAGGACTTATGCACATGTTTAAGTTTAAGCTCCTGAGCTGGACTATGCAGAGAGTGGGGTTGGTCACGTGCAGTGTCCTTGGCAGGGTAGGGACAGCAGAGCACAGCCCCTGCAGGAGCAAAGCCTGCGTGAGAGCAAAGGGTTACAAACGCTGGGGAAGCAAATTAACAAGTTTGCTTTGCAAAAGTGTTTGCCGCATCTTTTTTCACTGTTTGCCCAGCTGTACAAGCCATTTTATGGATTTTCCTGAAGATCCTAAAGGAAAGATCCCTATGGGTAGCTCTTTTTTCTAATAAAAAGGTACTTATCTTCCTAGCATAACCCGTCAAGTCCATCCTGCTGACAAAAGATCTCCATAAGCATCTACATATTCATGTCCAATTTTTTTACATCACTGTGTAGAAGTCAACGCAATTGTTTTTATACAGCTAATGTAAATGCGTTCTGGTTTCTGCCTTCCCCCAGCGGTTACAATCACACAACCTCACCACTCTGACCAAAAGCAATACTGAACATCGTGCCAAAAGCAGAAATATTATCCTCCTTGCATTCAGAGCCGGGGCTTGCCCACCTGAGGTGGGAAACTGCAGCTCCTGCCCGACACCCACAAAGCCACCCTTGTGGCCAGTGGAAGGTCTGTCCCAGCAGGGGCTGCGTCGCTGGGCTTGGCAGTCATTTCAGCTGCATGCAACAAGTGCCTCTGCTAACTTTGGTTCTTTTTTAATCATTACGCCATACTACCAGCAACTGCACTCAGAGGAAATAATTCAAACTTGTTGCAAATGTATTTATCCAAGGCAATAAACAGCTTCAACACGGAAACTCTTCTTGTTGTCTCTGTTGTGGTTCACTGCTAGTTGCCAGGACCTCTTTAAAACCACCCACCCACAAAAACCACCACAAACATGATTTTCAAGAAAGACAGGGGTTCCTGACAGCCCTCCTTGAGGGACAGGAGCAGAGAACTTCCCCCTGTGCAGCAACACCACCACAGACTCTCAGGACAGAGCTGATGGAGCTGGAAGTGTTCCCATGGCTCTGCAGGGAGGTCAGACCCTCCAAAGTGGCTGTTTCAGGTCATTCCCTTGGTCGGGAAGAGCACTGAGCTGAGCAGAGCCACAGTTCGGTGGGGGACTGCAGCAAGCTGTATTTCACCAATTCCTTATCAGTAACAAATTGCATGCCAAAAGAAATAGGGCCACTGAGACTGGAATCCCTCCCGCTGGCAACTGGAAAATGAGGAGTGTGGAGCATCTGCAGGGTCTCTTTGAAGAAGCCACAGTGTATGGAATATGTTGAGTAAAAAGCACCCAGGGAACTCCTCTTGAAAAAGACAAAGAGACAAATTGCTATTTCTTTCATCTCATAAGAGGACTCCGTTGCCTGAAAGCTGGGCATTTTATATCTCCTTGTCCCCACAGTGAGTCCTCTGGCAGAAGGACCTTTGTGCCTGCAACCCAGTTTGCTGCAAAGACAAAACCTCACTGATAGAGTATTAACCACGTGCTAGTGAGAAGCAGAGGCTGGAGTCTTTATGCTGTTTTCAGAGCAGCTACTATGGCTAAAGTAAGAGCAGACCTGAACTGAAGCCAGCAGTGGCTGAATTTGGGCAGACACCCTGGAGAACTGGGAGCATAAAGGTTTTTCTGAAAAAAAAAAAAACCCAGGGACTGACATAAGCCAGGAAACTGCACAAGTAATGCTGCTGCAACCTGTGCCGTCCAAAGATGTCCCCATCTTGCAAGGGCAGATCATTACAGGTCTCAGTGGGCAACTCCAACCCATGTTACTAGAGCTCAGAAGTCAAGTCAGCTCAGGATGTAGGTGGGGAAAGTGCTGTGCTCAGACTCCAGCAATCTCCACAGCAGCCACAGGGAGGGTGGTGAGGACAACAGGCTTCAGGTATTTAACCAGTTCACTTTAGAAGCTGGTTTCCCAGCAAACAGCGGGTGCATGAGAGACAAAGGCAGTGATTTTTCCAGACAGCCCCAAATTAAACTTTCATGGAGCCGGACTGATGCTGGTTCCCTGAGCTACCTGCAGGTTTCATGCAGTCCCCCATTAGTGCTTAGTGATAGCTGAGCCTACTCAGCCTCAAGCTTCTCCACCTGGAGAGACTCAAGGAGAGCAGTGACACCATGACATGCATGTGGACTGGGCATTACTGCTGGGGCAAGGAGCCAGCCAAAGGAGCTGCCACCTCTGCAGTTTGGCATCTTTAAGGTCAACGTGGCAATGCACGGAGTGACAGCCACACACCAGCTCCCTACTTCGCACCCAGCTCGGTCCCAGTCTGTGGTGGTGCAGGATCTGAACCCACCACCAACACAGCAGCACCCTTGGCTTCAAACCACTTCTTGAGGTTTTACATCTCAGGTGTCTTGATTTAAATAAAGTATATTAAATCCCCAATTTTAACTATGTCTTAATGCAACAGTGGGAATTCTTGATTTCAGCAACATTCTTTTGCATTTGCACTATTTAATTTTTAAAACTGTTTTCATTAAAAATGGTTGATGCCCTTTGGCCACTCCTTGCTAACCAGAACTAAAACACTGCTTGACATATAAAGCAATAGACAGTTTAAGATTCCTCGTTACATTTATTCTCAGGGTCTGATTCAGTCCATAATAGCATTAAGAAACGTTGAATGATACACTTCTTAGCTACAAAGCTCCATGTTTTGTACTGGGGCTTGGCCAAGCAGCTTCCAAAGAGAAATCAGAAATCAGTCACAAATGTATTAAAATTGCATTAAGTGTGCTGAAGCCATAAGGAAAGCAGAGTTTTTTGAAACATCCTACCCTATGTGGACCTGCTTTGGCAGGGGGGTTGGACTGGATCTCCAGAGGTCCCTTCCAACCCCATGTGATTCTGTATTTTATATTTAAGGCTACTTGGATTTCTCAAGCAGCAGCCTCATTGCCACTGGAGAAAAAATGAAGTGCCTGGTAGGGGCAAGCAGGGAGCAGAGCTGGGCAGCCCACCAGCCCCTAAGGCAAAGCCCAGAGCCACCTCTGGAGCAGGGTCCTGGGACACAGCAGCCCTGGGACATCCATCGCCCTGCAGAGCAGTGGAGCTGCCAGTGCTGAGCCCTGAAACACATCTGCCCTGGATGCGGCACACAGCGAGAAGGGGGACAAGGGTGTGCTTGCACCTCCCAACCAGTCCCTTAGTATTCATTGACAAAGGTGTCAATTCCACAGGCTGACCCAAAGGGTGCTCAGCTGCCACCAGGAACTTCTACTCCTGCAGCCTTTCCCTTACACATTAACCATGTCTACCCCAGCTCTGTTAGAGCTACCGATTAGACAATATGGAGCAAATGGAGTAAAAAATTAGAAAGCACAGGTCTGCAATCAAAACTTCACAGAAAACCAAACGTGTGTGCAACAGAGAAAGCACTGAGGTGAAGAAGTTCTTGGGAACAAGGGGACATGAGAAGGAGGAACAGCTCACAGCAGATTTGTATGGGGCAGCATGGTGCCAGCACTTCAGCATGTCCCTCACGTACTTCCAAAGCCTTCAATCAATTTTAAAGTTCCAGAAATGATCTCTCTCTTTCTCACTAAGCAGCAAATGTGCGGACATCCTGAACAGAAGCAGCAATCAAGCCTGAGAAATGGCCTCCTGCCTTACTGCTCAAAGCCAAAGCCAATGTGAATATCACCCACCAGCTCTGTCCCTCTTAACACAGTCACTACCTTGACCCTGAAGAGCTACTGGAAGAGCGTTTTACTTTGAGTTACTACTGCCTGGTTAATGAAGAAATTATGAATATTGCTGACCTGAACGTTTTCATCAAAACTAATTTTTTTCTCCATGATATCGCATCCATTTCTAATTAGAATCTCTGCAGAAAACTATTTTTGGTGAAGAATATCACCATTTCACACAGAAAATCCATTGTTTCCCTTAAATCCTGAATTATGCTTTAGGCTTTTATTCCATGCTTTTCTTTTGACACTTAATTATCCCAACAGTGCTATTATAAATTATACCCAGCTTTTCCATTACACACCAACCAGACGATGCTTTGATCTACAGGAAGATGCATCTCAAACAGTATCAAACAGAGGCTGCCCTTGGTTTTCTCGCCAGCAGAATAACAAAGGCAGATGCAATCTCGTCAGGCAGAAGGATTCACTGCACGTGCGACCACCCCACCATGAGGCCACACAGCACAGAAGCACCCCCTGCATCCCTCCCCCCAAGACCTTCCATCCCACATCTCAGCTCTACTCACCTCTAGGATCACTGTGCTCCAGGGCAGGTCACTACTGGGAACCGCCAACCTCCGTTGAGCGCAGAAGACACAGCCAGCAGGACGGATGCTCCAGGCAAACACAAAAGGTGTAGTTTCCATTTTGATGCACATTTCCCTTTCCTCTGGTCGGGAAAGCAGGATCCCTCTTCCCACACAGAGCTGTGTGATTCTGAACAAGGCCTCCCAAGTGGCTGATGCAGCAGGAAGGTTTTGTTTTTCCTCCAGGCTTCTGAAGGTCCAGGGAGAAATTTCTTCTCCTGCACCCAGGTCACAAACCTGCTGCTATGACAGGGCAGAGGAAAAGGAGCTCTGGGTTTGGTACTTTTTTTTCTCCTTCCATTTTTGCTGGAAGCCAGAATATAAGCAAACTAAGAAAAACAGGTTTAAACCAAATTTAAATTAATAACCTCTAGAAGCAGAGAGAGCCACACTCAAACTTAATTGCAGCAAAAGCTTCCAGACGTGGAGGGGAAGCTCCACATAGAGAGGGCCAAACCAATTAAAATAGCACTTCAAAAATAAACTTTTCTAAGCACCAGGTCTGCATGCTGAACTGAGAACACCCAAACTGCATCACCTCCTGCTCCAAGAGCCCCATCTTCTCACCCCTACCCCATAGACACCTTCCTGCAAACCAAAAGAGAGCCCTGTGAGCTTCAATTTAAAGGCCAAGGGTGCAAAGTGGTCACAGCTGCCCCAGTGGAGGTGGAGCACATGGGAGGTGCCCAGAGCACCTGGGTGTTTCCCAAAACTTGCCTTGGAGGCAGTGAGTGCTGCTGTGGCTGGTGTGCTGCTCATCCCGGGCACAAGCAATGTCATTTTAGGACAGCACTGCACGTTGCAGTATGGATCTACCCTTCATTTGCCCCTCGGCTCAGGGTATCCTGGCAGGGGTGAGGATTGACAGTGCTGGTGATACTGGACCTGCTGTGCCCAGCTATAGGTCCCCCTTCTCCCCAGCACCCACCCAAACAAAGCCCACTACCTTCTCCTGAAGGTGAAAAGAAAGTGCCCTTGAGGATTAAAAAATAAAAAGTTTCTTTCCTTTTTTTTATCACCTCCTGGCTTTTTGGCCCCCATCCATGCAGCAGGCAGCAGATGTCTCTGAGCTCTCTCCTGAGCGAGGTTTTGGACTTTCTCCAGCTCACCTCTGAAACCTGCTCTCAGACCTGTATCTGAGCTCCTTTCCAGAAAATCTTTGCCTTCTGGGAACCTGGGGCTTCTCCAGATGTCCCCAGGCTAGAGAAGCTCAGCTCTACGGGGTCACAAGGGAGACCTTACCACCTCCCACCCATCCCCAGCACGGTGCAGGGGTGTTTGGCCAGACAGTGGGAGTTATGGTACTGGGATGGAAAACATGGCCATAGCAGATGCAAAGCCATCCTCATCCTTCAGGACTGGGGCTGCAGGTGACAGCCTGGCTCTGGGTTGGGACCCAGCCTGGGGGGATTTGTGGCTGGGTGCCTCCATCCTGCCAGGGTTTGGCTTGCAGAAGGGCTGTCAGTGCCACTGACCTTCCAGCCTGTCCAACCAAGG